AACTCGGGCACTTTTGAATAGTTGACTATTCTTCTTCACTGACAGTGATAGGTTATCATCTGGTTAAACAAACAGTGGCATGACTGATGTTTATATCAAACTAACCGAACTGAACAATGATATAGTTTGTCATCAAACTAAATGAACAGCAGCACGATTATCTGAGATGTTTATCAAACTACAAAGATCAACTCTGTCATCAAACTAAATGAACAAAGGCAGCTATATGAGATCTTTATGAAATTAAACAAACTCAGGGGCACTGTGAAAACCAAAAATTTTAAATTCTTGACTTGCAGAAGTTTCAAAGTTCTCAGGTATAGCAATGGCAATAAAAAATATTCTTACCCTGATTCATGTGTAAGGCTTGGGCTTCTTTCTCTTGTTTCACCAGATAATAAAACTGATTCCCCACATATTCCAAGAGAAGCCTGGCTGTTTGTTTATCTAGCTGATCAAGAGCGTTATCAGGTGATGGCATCCAGAGACGTAAATCCTCTTCGGTGGCATCTGAGGGCTCTGAAAAACCAGAGCTGACTAGGGTGCCAGTCTTGCTATATCGTAACCTGTTACAACATTTTAAATTAAAAAAGTTTAAACAAATCTTTTCATAAATTTTCTACAAATCTTGTTTTTGTTAACTTAAAACATATCTTACACATAAATTGGACATACAGGTTTTTCAAAATACATGTGATACACAAGTCAATCCGTTTTTATACTTTTAGTTGGTTAACTTACAACATTTTCCATGATTTAACTCAAATAAACTTTTGTAGTTGCACTGCACGAAAGAAAGAATTCTGCTTTTCAATCTTGCATATAAATGCTGTATGGTACAGATACTGCCAAGACCTGCCATTTTCATACATCTCTATAAATAAAGAAGTTATTCATATGTTACTAGTCAAAACATTAGCTTTTTTTTTGTTCAATTTCCTTACTTTCTGAATGCAAAGAACCTGCAGAAATTATTTGGCATCTTTTTGCTTCTTTGGTGAGGAGTCATGCGGCATTCTCTGCATTTTGGTAGTTTTGATGCAACTTCGCCACATGGACCATTTTGAAAGAATGGCTCTCCAGTTTTTTTCAGTATGGTTACGGTTGTTTTTTCTTTTATATTTACTGGATCTTGAAAAAAAATATAATGCCTGAATTATTACAAGGACATTATAAGACAGGAGAACACTGTAAGTAATTATTAATGCTGTTCTTAAAAATCAGCTTGTTAGTCATGAAATTTTTCAATGTTTTCCTCATTTTAATAATCATTAGAGATAAAAATATTTGTAATGCAACAATGACATGGTAAAAATCAATGGGAGTGATGCAAGTACAATTCTACGAAACAGTAAAATGACACACCAGTTATGCCTGGATAAGTCTATTACAAACCAACTTTATATATGCAACATACTAATCATTTTGTAATTGGTTCTATCAAAAGCAGCATCACTAGTATGAAGGAAATGGGTCATCACCTCTTTCACTGCCACATTTAAAGATAACTAACTCTCCCGGTGCCATGTTTATAGATAAACAACCTTCCCGGTGCCATGTTTATAGATAAACAACCCTCCCGGTGCCATGTTTATGGATAAACAACCCTCCCGGTGCCATGTTTATGGATAAACAAACCTCCCGGTGCCGTGTTTATAGATAAACAAACCTCCCGGTGCCGTGTTTATAGATAAACAAACCTCTCAGTGCCGTCTTTATAAACAAACCTCTCAGTGCTGTGTTTATAGATAAACAAACCTCTCAGTGCCGTCTTTATAGATAAACAAACCTCTCAGTGCTGTGTTTATAGATAAACAAACCTCTCAGTGACGTGTTTATAGATAAACAAACCTCTCAGTGCCGTGTTTATAGATAAACAAACCTCTCAGTGCTGTGTTTATAGATAAACAAACCTCTCAGTGCTGTGTTTATAGATAAACAAACCTCACAGTGCAGTGTTTATAGATAAACAAACCTCACAGTGTCGTGTTTATAGATAAACAAACCTCCCACTGCCGTGTTTATAGATAAACAAACCTCTCGGTGCCGTGTTTATAGATAAACAAACCTCCCACTGCCGTGTTTATAGATAAACAAACCTCACAGT